CTCACCCATGGTCAACAACGTCACTGTGGCATGGGCAACACCTATTGATGCCACAACTTTGGTGCCTAAATTGAGGCTTACGTCGACAGCAAAGCCCTCGTTCATACCTTCAGGCTTTGCGTCAAGTACGCTCAAGCCTCGGGAAACTTGCCAGGCACCCCCCCTCCTCCTGAATAACACGAATATGTTGGTGCACACATTCGACAGCCTACCCTCGACGAATATCTAGCCCCATGGCAGAGTGCCGAGAGATGTTGCTCAGCTGAAAGTAGAGCATCCGATCAACTCGAATCGAAGTCCTCGCAGATATGAAGTGCGATTATTTCAGCGAGACCGAAGGTGAAAGCGAATGTGAAGATCGATTCCAAGGCTACCTGGATCAAAATTGAGAGGATTGTGAAGAACATTGTGATGCCGTGGAGAGGTGTCTATCCATGATCGAGGAAGAACCAGACCCGAAAAGGAACCGACGATTTGCTTGGCGACACGTCGAAGACTTATAAGCTCCCCAGCAGCTAGAGCACAGCAACAAGATACTTCTCTCGCGGCAGAGTCAGTAGCGAAACCACTAGATCATCATGGCCGTGGGCTCAGACAAGCGGTTCGACATCTCTGTCCCGGGAATGGGGGACCAAACACTAGTCTCTGTGAGTGCCCAAGCTTGCCTTGCTTTTCCTCAAACCCTCTCAGATCCTACGTAGTGTGACTTGGCTGATTGAAAACCTATAAATTCCCCAGCAGTTAGAGCACAGCAACAAGGTACTTCTCCCGCGGCAGACTCAGTAGCGAAACCAATAAATCATCATGGCCGTGGGCTCAGACAAGAGGTGCGACATCATTGTCCCGGGAATGGGGGACCGAATACTGGCCTTTGTAAGTGCCCGTGCCCGCCTGTCTGCTTGCTCTCAGACCCTCTCATGTCTTGGCTAGGCATTCCAACTTGGCTGATAAAGACGTATAAAGTCACCAGTGGTTCGAGCACAGCAACAAGGTACTTCTCCCGCAGCAGACACAGTATAGCGCAAGATCATCATTGCCGTGGGCTCAGACAAAGGCTTCGACATCATAGTCTAGGCAATGGGGGACCGAGTTCTGGCCTTGATATGTACCCAAGAAACTTCCGAAGCCTCTCTTCCATTGCGGTTGGCGATGGTTGAGGAGTGACATGAAGCATTGCACTGGGTAGCGAGAGATAATGATGATGGACTCAGACACTGTATACCGATTGCTGCTACACTTGGTTGTGCTAGTAGCGCGTTAAAAGATGTCTGATCATTTCTGAGTCTCTCAGGGCAGTAGCCTGCCGTTCAAGGGTACCGCAAAATACTGGTATGCCACGAGGAGATTATGCGCTTCAGTGAGGCTGAATCAAAAATAATGGTAAGGAGGCAATGCTCTCGATGTGATCGAGCTGGGATGTAGAGTTGGGAACGTAAAAAGACGGTTAGATGATGGAGAAAGGGGAATGAAGAAAGTAAACAAGAGACTGGCAGGTTGGGGCACTTGCTCTGTTCAGGGGGAAACGGAGAATCTGGTACTGCCGTGGAAGGATGCTCCTTCCATCTGCGTAGGTTCCCAACAGCACTTTACTGCTACTGACATACAGACAGGTCGAGAACGCCTTGAGGGTATTTTGTTTGGAAAGAGCATCTACGGGTTTCTGATATGGAAAGAAGCTCTTGCCTTTCTGAACATTCTCCACAAGGGCTCGCTCTGTTACTGACTATCTCAATTCAAGAACGCACAAAGGTCTGAAGCCGTGTCGCAAGCTGAGAGCCATCTTTTGCTCAAGATTTGGCCATGGATAGTTGCGCAAGACCTTCATTCAGAACTCTACAATTTCTCACGAATACGATGATCGGGGGCCCTGCCCCAGAGCGACCATACTTGCCTATCTCATTCTGCCATCCATTCGTTCAGCTATAAAGACCCGTTCTAGTCCGCGGGCAGTCTCTAGTTTACGTCCACGATCGTTGATCCTTTGGTTCTTCGAGTACCGTCTGCCAAGGAGAAAGCTCCTTTCAGGGAGACAACAGCTTGTGCCGTTGGTCCATGAGAAGCAACTCACGACTTCTCATCCAACCCAGACCGTCATCCAAAGGTCACGGAGGTACAGCCGTCTGGCGCCGTCCCTGTGGATTGAGTGCTAAAATGGATGAAGAGTCAGAAGGAACAAGCAAAAGGTAAGCGAACTCATTTAAAGAATCATTGGGCCTGTATGCTAGTTTCTAAGCCCACTGGCCAAAGCTGATGGCGCTGGCGTCTGGCGATCGCAATGCCAATCCACGCGATGACCGACTGTGTTATTCGGTTGTCGAACGTTCTTCGTACGAAGGCATGGGTTTCTTCATACTCACCCGACAGTCTGTGGTTTCGTCAGTGTGTTGTGATCGGCCAGATCTGTTCCTCCTCTTAGCGAGGAAGCTCAGGCCTTGACCAGGGGTATATTTTCAACGCCTCTGATCAAGGACAGGCTTCCTAGACAGCCGCTAGCTTTTTTGCAAGACTTCTTGATGACAGCCTATCAGAACCGAGAAGATGCTGTTTTGTGACAACGGAGGACCAGGATACCAAAGGGCGGTATGAAAAGGTAATCGGACTAAGCTTAGCTGGAAAATTTTGCTCTGATCACAGCGTCTATCGTCGACTATCATATATGGCAATGGCTATCGCCCGAGGTATGCGACTCTGGCAAGCGCTTGTTGCGTGACTCGTTGCCCATTAGGGTGGAGCGGGAAACCAATAAATACTGATCAGACAGTGTAGCTTTTGCTCTGAAGGTGCTGTTAAAAGCCGCTTTCCGATCTACTCGTATACTGCAAAGCATTAGATCGTCCTCACTATGCAAGTAAAGATTCTTCCGGAAGCCGTGCTTCCGTCAGTCAGTCAGTCTACGCTTGCGCCACCCTCGATTGGGGCTGTGTTTGACGAGGGTTTTCAGCGTCTGTCAAGCCCCTGAAAGGCTACCAAACTGTATCGTTCAGTCACCATGTCGCTCTCCTCCAGATCCCATTATCTCCCCGCAATCCAGCTGCTAAGTAAGGTAGAAACGTGCAGAAAGCACGGGGATATGTCGATAGAGCCCTCACGTAAGGAATACGAACTGCCTCCCGGGAAGCATGTAGGAATGTGGAGCCGGGTTCTCAGTCTCTGTGCGGATTTGGTTGAGAACGCTGTGATGCACGTCCAACGCTCGTCTCTGAGGCGTACCTCATGCGCTGAGAAGATGAAGACATCTTGCGAGTTCGAATGCCGGCCCGGTTTCCACTTCAGCAATTAGGAAGTGAAAGACCTGCAGATCGGGTTCTAGGGTCACGAGTTTGCAGTTGACGGATCTGGGAACTTCGACAAGTACGTAGCAGAGCACGGCGAGGGCCGAGAAGGACATCAGGATGCAGTCCGGAATCATTTTTGAGAGATCAATAAGCACTCAGGAACGGGTACATCCAATTAATTGTTCGCAAACTGTAGAAGGGTCTTACTCTTTCTGTCGAGATGTAGTATTCAAGCAACTGCTAAGGAGAGATCACAGTTCTTTGCCCAGGACTTTGAACTAGGCGTCGTTTGCAAGCCCTTCACGTTCTGCAACGACAACAAATACGGGCACAGAAAGCCCAAAATCACTATGCTTGCGTATCCAATCTTGCCGCCAGTCCAGTCGCGTATTCAGTCCCATCCTGATCCACAGTATGTCTCTTGGCTTTCAACAGTGGATGCTGGTCCTTCAGCAATGCCTAATCCTTCGCCCTTACAAAGGCTGGATTCAAAACGGCCATGAGCCAGCTGCGACTCAAACCATTCTGCATCAGCTGCAGCTGAGCGCCATAAGACCTAAGTCAGTCCCTCTTCAACAAACCAAAAGGATGGGAGAGCACAGATACATCCCTGGATGCGAGCGAAATCCCATCCAGCGCCGAAAGCAGGCAGCTGGGGAGTACTTGTCGGCACTTACGGCCACAGAGTGGCCGAAGCTGATGGTATTGGCGTCTGGAGACTGCGACGTCCTAAATGACTTCTGATAAGCTTATTCTGCCTGGCTCGAGAGCAATCAACTCAGGCCTTAGTTCCTGCTACGTCCCCGGCCATTCTCTGAACATATTCGCTTCGGCTACTTGCAACCGGATACATGTATGGCTGCTTGAATGGCCACGAACGCTTCACCAAAAGGTACATCAGCATGATGCCCCCAGTCTCGCCACAGGCGCCTTGATCTTCGGCTCGTCTGAGATCGTCTCTTCCCACGGCAAGAATGGCTTTGGTCTGGATCGACATCGCTATCGCCGTCTAGCATTGCACTGCTCCTTGCAGAATCGGGGTCACCCAGGGAAGCGTCATCGTTGACAACGGCAGCGGACTGTAGGGGACGACTGGTGCTAAGATGGTCCTAGATGGCTGGCACTTCGCCTGCACTGTACAACGGATTTACATAGCATCCCGTTTCCTGGGCGTCTATCCGTGTCAATTCACACATTGGTGTACTTTGTAGACTCAAGGTTCTGAACGCTTAGATGCCCACTGGCCCCATGTTGTGCTTGAACATGGTCCAAGTGACCGCTGAGGGCCCAATACCGTAACTGTCCCATCGTCGGTTTGGCTACCCTTTAACCAGCGTGTACATCGCCTTCTTATAGGCCTGTCCGTCCCTTCGATGATGAAGCTAGTACTTTCAATGGTGATGTTCATAGAAATAGTAAGTCTCTCGTCAGAGGTAGAATTCGCGGTGTCCGTACTAATTAGTATATGCACCAAATTACCATAAAAACGACCGGATTTTCGATCGACATATCTATGCTAGTTCAGAGGTATGTAATTCGTAATAGGTTCGATTCCTATTGGCACTGGTACAATGGTGTAGCGGTTTTTTATTTTCACTGAGCCTTGACGTTGTTCACACTGGGTTCTTTCAAGCTATGATTCTTCCGCCTCTTGGACCTCTCTCTAAAACATTAGGTGACCTCTGATACTGTTTCCCGTCCTACAATGTTGTCTCCGACCCAGCAATGACCGCTCGATATTCCCCTCCCCTCAAACCTATCAGACTCTCTCACGCCCCAGCTCCTCAATCTTTTCTACGCCGCCGATCTCGCTGGCTCTACGGCCTACTCGCCCTGGTTCTGCTCTACCTATGCCGCTCCTCCATTCCCCTCCTCCCTCACCGCACCCCGATCCACGAACCCTCCCTCCGCTACAAAAATGTCGATTGGTCTCGCTACGCCTACAGCCAATACGCAACCAGCAGTCCCTATCTGTGCAACGCAGTCATGGTTTTCGAAGCCCTTTCTCGCCTCGGCAGCAAAGCTGACCGCATCCTCCTCTACCCGCAGGAATGGGACCTCGAGATCGAAAGCACCTCTGATCGGGACAGCCAACTGCTGGTAATAGCGAGGGATCGTTACGATGTGAAGCTTCTACCGGTGGTAATACCGAAGGCGGATGACGACGCGTGGAATGGGAGTTTTACAAAGTTCATGGCGTGGGAACAGACTCAGTACGATCGGGTGCTGCATTTGGATTCGGATGTCACGATATTGAAGCAATTGGATGAGCTGTTCATGTTGCCGAGCGCGCCGGTGGCCATGTTGAGGGCTTACTGGAGGTTGCCGAGTGTTCGGCAGCTGACCAGTCTGTTCATACTGTTTGAGCCCGACGAGATGGAGGCGCAGCAGCTGATGGTCGCTGCGAGTCCGAATGTCAGGCAGAAGAATGAGTACGACATGGAGATCCTAAACAAGTTCTATGGGGACTCGGCTATGGTGCTGCCGCATCGGCAGTTTGGACTACTCAGCGGCGAATTCAGGGTTGATGATCACAGAAATTATTTAGGGAACACCCATGAGAGATGGGATCCTGAAAGGGTGCTGAGGGAGGCAAGTCTGGTCCATTTCTCTGACTGGCCCATACCGAAACCTTGGATTATGTGGCCGCACAACATGATCCAGGATGAGATGCCAAAGTGCAAGCTTGGGATTGGAGCAGGGGGAGATGATTGTAGGGACAAGAAGGCTTGGCTGGGACTGTACGACGATTTCAGGAAAAGGCGAAAAGTAAGAATCGGGTATGACCTAACGTGATAGGAGAGGCCGCTGATTGAAGCATATTCTCAGGATATTTGTGCTTTACTCTCCGCACCTGCTCCAGAGTGGCACCCTCCACCACGGAATACGACGGAAGCCTCGGACTGATTTATGTTATCCACCAGTTGGAGAATCAAATAGGAACAGACTCGAAGCGAGAGTACCAAGGCACGGCTTTTGATGATTTGCAACGTTGGCTACTACGCAAAAGTCAGAGGTGCACACGATGGAGGAAGCCCTTGGTGCGTCCAAGGAGAATCAATGACGGATGGCACGGATGACTGAAGCGTCGCTTGATGGATGGATCGGTAGGTAAGAGCATGTTGCCAGAGTGATAGTGGGATATTTATTTTCTAAGGCGCACGAGGGTGGGCACATTACCAGCATCTGCGAGTAAGGAATGGCCGATGAGACAGACCCAGAATTTTGACATTGCTCGGCGGTGATGGCCATTGGACCTCATGGTATGGGCTGGCCGATGGAGGCATCTGATCTTGAATGTCGTTGGGCGCAAGCAAAAAAGTTAACGCACTAGGAGGCGAAGACCACGCAGTTGGTAAAACCTGTGCGTTGTGACCCTGCGCTTTCACGATTGAAGGCACGCTTGTTTGGGTTATGAGACGTCGCCCCGGGTCTCTATCTATTTGTATCCATTGCGCCAAATTTTTATCAATCCAAGCTATGACATACAGCAACGACAGCCACGATCCGTCAGCGTCGAATTCACAGCCAAAGCCAAGGCATTCGATTCACGACAGCCTTCACCAGCACAAAGGCTTGGAGAGACAGGCCAAAATCTAAAGTGCGCGAAGCCCTCACAGAGACGTGCGGTCTCTCCTCAAAACCTCCACCAAACCCATACCAGGCCGTAACGAGGGTCCCACCAAGATTTCAGCGCAGATACCATCATCATTGGACTCACCGACTCCGGGACGTGGTATTCTTCTTCCACGATGCCTTAGCTCTAGATGAAGGGCCGTTCAGTTCTGCAGGTTCAACTCTTGCGCCCACGTCGGTGGTGACCATGGTGGAGATAGTGGCGTTTCTGGTGCCTCTACTGGGGATACGTGGGAGTAGAAGGAGTGACTGCCGAGTCTAGATGTGCGGTTTTGCTAGAGGAGATTGTAATCTAGGAATATCATATGTCTATTCATCATAGAGAACATTTGTGGAGGTTGTTTCTTTGTAAGCCTGAACGTATGCCTGAGCACCGAGACTTCCATCTAACCCTGGGACCGCCATGGCGGGAACTTTGACCCCTTTGCTTCATCCTCAAACTTCGGGAATGGTAAGGGGGCGAGTAGAGGCATGTGGGGAGGAGGGCAAGGATCTCTGGAACGGAGGAAGGGCGAGTGGCTCTAGATGTGTCAGGATTACGTTTCTTCTGAACAAAGAAGATGATGCCGAAAAGATCTTCCAATCTCGAAGTTTCTGATAGAGTTATGGAGCATAGCAAATGTGATTCTATTCCGACCAACGCTCGACGCCATCCTGAAGCAAGCAATTTTCTCAAAAAGCCACACACACACCACGCATGAGACAAGTAGAACCAAGCAACGCTTTGGTAGGAAACAGCCGGCCTCATCATTCCCTGGGTATCACTCCCCCGACCGTCTATGCGACACTTCTAGCAGCAGCAATTGAGGCACTCGAAGCACGCGAGACCGGCGCAGCTGTGTCCCTCAAAGTTAGCGCCCGTCCCCGCTCCGGGCGTTACGGGGGGGTAGATCTCAAAACGCACAGGCCGCAGCAGACATCCTCCCCTTCTCCTCCACCGCGCAGGCTCATGGTCATGGGTTCTTGAGGTTTCTGCAGCACAGGTAGAGTCAGCACGGTTGTTCGCCGAGGGCCTTTTTCGCTCGGATGCGCAGATCTTCGGGCAATTCCCGAGGAGGGCTGGTGGTGGACGTACGGGCTGTTCGTTCAAGGCGTGCGATGCTTCGTTCGTGTTTGTGTTGGGGGCAGTCATCTGCTGGGATGGGAGGGGTTGAGTGATTTCAGGCATTGTGCGGGTTGTGTGGATTGGATTGGCTTGTGAAAGGTGGTGTTGTACAGATGTTGGTTGGTGGGTGATAGATGGGAAAGAAGATGAGGAAGTCGAAGTTGGAGTTGAAGCTGAAGTTCAAATTGAAGTTGAAGTTGAAGAAGGAAAAGAAGTAGAAGGGGAAGGTGGAGGAGGAGGAAAAGGGAAGGCAAAAAATGTGAGAGAGTCAGCTGAGTAGGTGTTGATTGGAGGAGCGAGGGCGAATGTATGTTTCATTGGTAGACCCTGCAACACTGCCTCTAATGAGAGTACCATACTCGTAAATTGTCATTATTATTAAGAATAGATTCATTGCCGCCTATAAAGTAGATTGCCACCTGCGACCTGCGTCTCAAATGTCTCGTTTCGGGTGCCAAGCCTTCAACAGTATCTTCTTACCACTGACAATGTGACAATGCCACAATTCTTGGAACCATTCTTGAAACGATGCTTGGAACTTCCTTCAGAGTTGTGTGAAGAGATTCGGTTGAAGATGAAGAGAAGCATCCACCATAAGTACGCCAATCGAGGGAACCTTCCCCCACTATCTCGTACCAAAAGTCCTGGACGCCAAGACTTCTGCGCCAAGATCTCGGATAACGCCCCGCCTGAAGGGTTGTCCGGACACTGCGCTTAGAGATGCTTCGGAAATGTACCTGGCCTGAGCCCAGCTTGGGGCCTATGCCCCCATAACTCCAAGAGAGGTCCGTCCCTAAGTTTCAAACTAGGCGCTCCAAGCAAACACTTCTGGGACCTTCACTACTGGGTCGCCTTTCGGAGGTAGGGTTAGGGCTTTAACTGGCGCTGTCCAGAACTTTTGGTGCCCAGTGCCCATCTCCCGTACGGAGTATATCATCCATCACGATCCTCCGGGACGGGACGGCGCACAATGTGGCACACAATTGCCATTTGCCAGTTGCCATTTGCCAGTTGCCAATTGCCATGACCAACTCCCGCAGTCATCCTATCGTCATTCCTAAAATTACAGGATAAAGCTTGTACATGATTGGAAAAGTTTGAATATTAAACCGCCAATGGCCATCTTGTTACCTTGGACTTCCCTGACCGAGGGTCAATTACACTGCTCCTTCAACTCACTATGCTTGACAATAAAACAGATGCTTTGCCCCAGCATCAGCCCGAGCTACCCACACGCCCCCAGCTGCCCATGCCCAAGTCTGACCAAGTTTACTTTGCTGAGGAACAAAAGGGCTGGCATGGTTACGTCGAATGGGAGAAATATCCCGACAAGGCAAAGAGGGCAGCTGAAATACTATCACAACACAAATTCGCTGGCGTAAGGCCATTGAACATTCATGCTGCTAGCCCGTGCCTAATCAACATCATTCCTTGCAGGTGCCCGAGTTCCAGTTGAAACCCTTATCAAGCACGAACCCTCGACTTGAAGGAGTACGATGGAAACAATACCACGCGGCTCTAGGGCCGACACTCGAGAATCTTCCCAATGAAAGCTGGGACATTGTGAAAGAAGAAAAAGCAGAGGATATGATTCACGTTCTTGATTTTCCATATAATGGAGAACCTCCAAGGGTCTGCTATTGATAGGCTCCGCTTTTCTATTGAGCTGTACCTAACAGGAGGACCTAGGATCGTCTTGTCGGAACTACCCTTACAAGGAACGAAGACCATTTCGTGCGCAACCACGGCGGCATACCTGTTATCGACGAGGATGAATACTGCTTGGACATTGGCGGGATGGTGAACAACCCGACACGATTGACTCTGAAGGATTTGAAGAATGAGAACTTGTTTCCGAGGCAGACCGCGGTGGTGACTATACAATGCTCCGGGACTCGCAGGATTGAGCAAATCCAAGAGTACCCTGGTGATGGAGATGAGCTGATTAACGCACCGTCAGTCCTCCACATGTCTCACTGATGGGCCTCGGCGATTGCTAAACCGCAGTTAGATGGGGCGAAGGCGCCATTGGCACTGCACGCTGGACGGGCGTCAGCCTAAAGAAAGTGCTCAAACACTGCGGGGGCCTGAAAGAAGGTGCCGGGCACATCGAGTTCATGGGTGTCGACACCTACTTCAAAAAGGGTCAAGTCTACAACTACGTTGTCTCAGTTCCTTGGCGGAAGGTTCGCATCCACGAGGTCATGTTGGCCTGGGAGATGAATGGGAAGCCGTTACCAAAGATCCATGGCTACCCGTTACGAGCAGTGGTGTTTGGGTATATTGGAGCAAGGTACGTTGTCCCAAGCGATGTTGTATACGTTTTTGGAGCTGATTAGATCGTGCACAATACAGAAGTGTCAAATGGCTCGCTCGCATAACCGCGATCCCGCACCCCTCCACTGCGCCTGTTCAGAAGAAGGAGTACCTTTACTATACACCCCAAGCCGGCAAACACAACGCATCATATAGTTCAGGGTTCTCTATACAAGACATGCCCGTTGCCTCAGCCATTATTTCTCCCATCGACAAAGCCGTCATCATCCACGATGGCGCAATCAAGATGCGCGGTTGGGCATACAGCGGTGGCGGGCACTGGCCCGAACGCGTAGAAGTGAGTGGAGATGGAGGCAGCGTGTGGTATGAGACGCCGTACGAGAAATTGAGTCAGAAATACTTTCATGCGTGGAGGTTGTGGGAGATTGATTTGCCGGTGGATGCAGAGGGGTGGTAAGTGCCATGTCTCAAATTTATGACTTTGTGGCAGTAAGCTGACACTGAAATAATTCAGGCTCGAATTGGTTGCCAGATGTTGGGACAATGCCATGAATACGCAGCCAACCTATGTGAGAAGTACGTGGAACTGGGACCTTCACGTCACATCATCCTGTCACCGCATCAAAGTCTTCAGCGTCAACCGGTCCAGACCGGCCACGGCGAAAAGGCTCAAGAGGCTCGAGCAAGAGGGTATCGATTTTCACCCCGTCACGAAGCCTTTGGAAATCGACCTAGAGAGTGACGACGAGTATGAGACGGAGATGCAGAGGAGAGGAGGGAGAGAGCCTGAGGAGTGAGTAGGATGGGTAGCTAGATCGACGATGGGAGAGTGAGTACACGCACAATGATTCAATGTCATCTACTTGCGGAGGGACAGCTAGATCGATGATGGAAGAATATATGCGCTATGACTCAATGTCATCTACTTTCGGAGGGATAGCTAAATCGATGATGCAGGAGTACACACACTATGAATGAATATCAAATACTTTATAGTTCGGGATCGCTTATCTTCCCACTCCTGTCATGTTCGGTTCCACGGGTATGTTCGCAAAAGCTTTCCCTTTTCCTCTGCGCTGCCAAGACATGCACGTCAAACTTCTCGTATCAACCTGCCCTCGCTCGACAGCCACAATCGTCTTCCATAACATCATGATGTCGACATATCTGCATTCGCTTCTTGCGCGATCGAGCTCTTATACAAAGATGGCCGATTGCCATGTTTTACTCCAACTGAAGCTATCCGCCAAGATTCGGTCACCGTTCGGTCACCGCCAAAGATACTCAGGTAATCCACCCTTAGATGGTGCGTTCCCTTGATTGATCCCTTTTCACAGGGATTGCGATACCAGGAAATAATACATTCGGGAGGAGCCTTAGCCTCGACGCCTGAAGTTGCGGAGGAACGAGAGCATCACACCGCAGCGGGCAACCTTCGAGGCTTTTGAGTGCATCAAGCACACCCGCTTGCGATCAAAGCGAATGTTCTCCCTCAGGCGATTCCGGAGACGTTGCCAGAACCGCAGTGGTCTGTCGCGATATCGCTTCACCCTCTTTCGCCAGAGGCTGCATCCTCAGTCTCAAGGCCTCTCCGCGACGGAACACCCTTATTCAGTCCTCGTCTAGCCCAAAGCACCCACGCGTCAAGGCGGCGGGCTGAGATCCAGGCCCGCGACTCGAAGTTCGAAGCTGTCGTTCCTGCCGTAGCTCCCAGCGACGTCTAGATCCAGTCTTCCACGTTCGCAGTCTTCGAAGTCAATGGTTGCCGTCAACAGTCCCCCGTCTTCTACGTCCCAGAGTGGTCCAGCGAGGATGGAGCCGGTGGGAGAGATGATGCAGGAGCCGCCGCGGGAGACGAATTCGTCGTCTGTATCTTGGGCTTGGGTGGTGGACGCGGAGGATTGATTTCGGGTAGTGCCTGAGGAGGGGAGAGCGAGAACGTGGTTGTCGGGTGTTTCTATTTGGACTGCATTCGGAATCTGCACGGTTTCGGAGTCTGCTGGAATTGTGATGAGGTGGGTGGGTGATGTGCCATTGGTGGTCTTATTATCGGGCGGTGTGGGTTTCGAGGACAGTTTGGAATCGGGAGAAGGCCATGTAATCTCATGGTTATCCTCCGTCTTGGTGACAATGGAAGCACGTCGTCTATTCTTGTCGTCTGTAGAGTATTTCATGCTATCAGCCTCTCCTTCCCCACCCTTTGCTTCTTGTTCGCCGGTGATCCAATTCGGTAGATTCTTTGTCCTGACGCACTGATTCGCACTCAGCACAACAGCCCGCCCCTCACATGCAATCGTCTGCATCAAAGGTAACCATGTCTCCCTGGCATCAGCAGTAGGCGCGAGGTAGAGATTGACATTCTGCGAATAGAGTGAAAATCTCAGCAAGGGCATGTAATTCTCCCAGCATATTGCCGCCGCAAGCGTGAGCTTCACGCCCGCGATATCGGTCGTGATGGCCCTCAAGGTAGACGGAGATCCTTGCGCCCAAATCAGTCGTTCACTGCCTGTCGGCATGACTTTTCTTCTTTTGCCCAGGCAGCCTTCTCTCGGACAGACGTAGACAACTGCGCAGTATAGGCTCCCACCAGATCTTTCGACAAGTCCAACAACCAGAAAAATTCCTGTGTTCTTGGCCACCTGCTCCAGTCTTTCCCGTGTTCCATCTCCTCTGTATCCCTTTCCCTTGGCCACATCTAACCTTTTATCCACCCAATCCTGCCCGGCGCCTCTGGGGGTGTCTCCCAGATCGACAGCGGAGTGGAAGTAATGTAGGAATTGCTCGCGACCACCATCGGTGCGAGATCCGACGGAGGCGCCGAACGAACAGGTGCGAGGGTAGCCACCTAGGTAGGCTTCGGGGAACAGCAGAAGGTGAACGCCTGCTTGAGCAGCGTGGTGCGCTGTCTCTGAAAGCGAGGAGATGGTGGCTGCTGTTGTTGGCAAGGTGCGCGATTGGGAGACTGCGAGCGTGAGATGTTTAGGCATCGTATGTACTAGTAAAGGAAGAATGTCTATCCTCGGTCAACTGAGTGCTTTGATACTCGCGTGCTCCGCAGGTGGGGGATGTTTCCCCGCCTGGGTTTTCACTTCTCCTACCCGGCTTCCACGGATACTAGGGAAACTGGTGATGACAAGGTTGATCGACCGTCTCGTTTGGAAGAGAAGATTAGGGATATGGATGAGAGAATTTCTGACCGAGCATCTGTCAGAACGTGCAACGAAGTATCTGATCGTTTGTCCGAGAACGGTGTAGCAATAGCGATATGTTTGACCAGGAACCTCGTTCAGCTGCCTGTAGATTGTCTAATTCTTGGTTCAACGTCAAAGACCCCTTCATCTCCGGCCTGCTAAAAGTTTCGCCAAAGAGCTCGTCTCTGGTGATGTCTCCAGCATGTGTGAGTCCCCTTGCCAGCCATAGCTCTTGCGACTTTCGCCACCCGAGCAGGAAGAAGAAGCAGCAAGCTCCGATAATGAGGGCCAAACCAGCGATTCCTCAAACAGCACCTCCTGTTGTTGCCGTAGTATTGGCGGCATGCGAGGAGGGAAGAGTGGTGCTTGCGAAGCGGATACTGTCACAATAACCGCTCTTTGTGAAATGGGAGGAAGACGTTCGGGGGCCGGTCATAGAGGCCTTGGAAGTGGTAGAGGACTCTTGAAATTTCATAGAAGAGGATAGTGTGGAGGGGATGCGGTGCGGCCGCAAAGGGATCGATATTGCTCTCTGTTCCATTGACCACCCAGGCACCGTTTTCACTACTGCGACATGATGTGGCCTGCTCGCCCTCTTCGCAGCAATTGCTTCAGTCGTCACACTGAGTGATTTAAAATCATTGTCTACCTCCAGTTGGCCATTTTGCATTGTCAATGGTACATGACTTGATGCATTCCGGACTTTGTCAAGGCGGATCCGTACTAGTACATGCTGCCCGCTGTATGGTCTGGCCGTTGGATTTCTGACACAGACCGTCGCTGCGATATACGACCCCAGATTTCAAACTAAGGAAGTCAGAGCTGGAGTCGAGAGCGCCCACGCACAAACCAGAGTCAGCATTGCTCATCCGAGGCCAGCAATCTTAGGTGTGAAATAGCATAAGGAGCAGACATCCATCCAAGAGTGAAGGTGACAGCTGCGAAGGTAGTCCATCTCGATCTCTCAATGCAGCAATGGCTATTCGCGGCCATTCCAAAATCCTTGATCCCTTGGGCAGGCTGGGGGACACGGTAGAATAAGTTTTTGACAGCTCAACTGTCTCGAGTAGTGAAGGAAGTATTCGCGCTTTGTATTGCTATACTGATATTAAGTAAACATGTGCATTTGTAGACTTCAGCAGCCGCGGTTCCAGATCGTGTAAACAATCGAATGATATAAAGACTATCATGCAAAGCAAGTGTGTCAATCTAGGCAAACCTTTCTGCGAGCTTCTTCCACTTCCCTAGCTGGACCCAACCCGTCTATCTCACTATCTAAAGACCGTCTTCGCCCTTTGGTCTGATCACCTGGCCCGCTCTGACACCAGACTCAGCCTGCCCACGGTGAACATTTTTCACATGGCTCTTAAGCTTGTCCTTTCGTGCAAACCCACCGCGGCTATACTTACACCAAAGCACAGGACACGTGAACCTACGAGCATTATTTGTACAGTGCTTAGAGCTATAATGCCGTGTCAGATCGCCCCAACGTTTGGTGACGTACTGGCATTGCTCTTCGAAGCAATTGAATCCTCCCTTTTGGCTGAAATGGGACTTCTCGTGCCGGAGTAGTGCATTGGTGTAGCGATTCACTGTCGCGCCGTCAAGACCTCGGGCCATCCAGTCACAGGCTGGTAGACGGCAGGAATATTGTGCTCTCGGCACCAAGCCAGGGCTTGGAGCTTTGGATGAGAACCAATTAGTGTGCAGATCCAGACAGACAGGGCAGGAACATGTGCGAGCGGAGCCAGAGTCTCCGGCATCGCCCCTCCTTCCTTCCTCAGAAACAGCTGGGGCTTCCGAGGTAGAGTTCGGGAATGGTTGTCTACCGAGACTGACGTGCTCATCGTCTCCGACGCTAAGGCTTGCAGTTCCGACCACATCATGCGCTACATGATTGAGATCTGCCGCAGGCAGGCTGCTACTATCCCACGTGTCTTCAGCAATCGGGAAGCTAGCTGTTGCGGTAGCGTCGCAGGCGTCTTGTTGCACCATGGACTGCTGAACCCATGCTGGCATATCGTGCATCGTCGCTGGGTGACGCACAACGCCATAGGCATCTGGGTTGCGGAAGAGGCTATTCCCACGTGGGACCAATCCTGAGCGAAGGATTGATGTCCAGATAGCGGCTCTTGAGCTTGCTCAAAACCAGGCAAATAGGTTTGCTGACTGTACGCCCCTTGGTTAGGCAGTAAAAAAAAGCCTACCCAGCCTCACAGCCCTGCAAGCCGAAGTCGGTCGAGACGATTTCGGAGTAGACCCCAGAGCCGAGAAAGTTGTTCCAATCAGCTGTAGTGCTATCCATTTTGATGCGAACGAGCGCCCTGCTCGGCTTGTAGGGGCGAAAGGGCGTTTGTTGCGCTGGCAAAGCCCGACCTTCGATGAGGCTGAGAGAGGCTAAGTAGCGAATCAATGCTGGAGGAGTTGCGACCAGAGAACAGGGTGAGCATAATAAGACTGGAAACATGTTTGGGGTGAGCGTTGTTTATGTAGACCCCCCAGGAGGACAGTTTGGTGCGGGTGGTTTGTCATGGTCGACTAAGATTATGGCATCCTTCGACGGACCTGAGTCTAAAATGTTATCTCATTGTTTTGGTGGCCACAGCATGATCACTATATCAAGGTTACCCTACGTAGGCCCCCGCCACTCACGTTCCGCCCACATTGCCCAGCCCGGTCCCTTTCGCTGCCATTATGTCAAACATTGTATAGCAAACAGCAGCTAGTGTTCCCCACCCCAAGCCATCCCAGGATGTTGAAGTGACCCCATGTCATGTCTGCATACCCATTCTCTGCACTCCCATCCTCTGCACCCCGATCTCTGGCACCGTCCCACCAGGCGTCGACGATGGCGGCCTTTGCAAAGTCTCTCTTGGCATTGGCGGAGGTGAATGTTCCCTCTTCTCTTCATGTTCATCATGGTGGCTCTGCTCCATCGTGGCCTGTGTTGAGGAGTTTGACACCTGTGGTTCTGGCGACCGTTGAGGCTCGTCCACTGCTTTTGTTACAGGTTGTACGGGCTCACTGCCGGCGGTGTAGACCCATGAAGGCTTGTCTTGGGCTGGCTTTGGTAGGTCTTGGCGCGTAGCACTGTTGAATTGGGTGTAAATGTTCCCCTTTTTTGGTTCCGAGTAGGACGTAACGCCGTTGGCTTTGTGCCGATGCATGTTGGCTTCTGGCGCTTGATAACTGGGTGCTGGGGTAGGCGATGTGTGGGCTGTATCCCTTGATGTGCTATAAATCAGGTCGATATCTGGGTCTGAGATTGGAAGCTTTGGTGGCGAAGCAGTCGCACGTCCATTGTAACCGTCCACGTTCGTGGTTTCTTCCCGTACTTCAGTCGTTGTAGACTGGGTGGCTAGCGCAGGTGAGGCATGAGCACAGGGTTGCAACCCCTCCATCCTTTCCGGAAGGGTCTCCTTTGCAACCGCAACGGTAGGCGGTGATGTGGGTTGCACGCTGCTGTACCGTCGCGCCTGCGCAGGTTTCTCGACCAATTCACCTTCCTCATCACCGGTATCTTCCCCTAAAAGTTCCTCATCTCGTACTCCCCGCTCCTGACTGTACTGCCTTTTCCTGGATCCATCCCCCCCACTTCGGCTCCCTTCGCCTTCACTATTCCCGTCTTCCTCCTTACGAATACGTAGTATGAACGGATGATCTTTCAATTCCTGCTCCTCCACGTCTTTCCAGCTGCATTTTGCATGTTTCTTCGTACAACCCATACATGCAGTCAGGTTTTTCAGACAATCCATATGTAGCCGTCGGCACCGGTCACAGGGCGGTTGTACCCTATCACCGCGGCTAAGCTGCTCCATGCGTGCCATCATATCAGCTTTAAATGGTCCGCTATCCTCGAAACGATCGGTTGGCGAGGGTTTGACATATGGTAAAAGTGAAGCAGGAGTGTTCGGTATTGGCACTGGGGAGGCCGCGCTGAGGAGTGCTCCCGCATACTCCATCGAATCCGCGTACGGTTTGAACGAATTTCTAGGCTTTGGAGGGAGGGATGGCCGGGAAGTCGCAAGCGAGGAACGACGTGCTGCCTCGAATTCGCCCGATGAGCGATCACTGCTGGTGTGAAATTTGGTGAGAAGTTCGGCTCGCGTCGCTGCTGAAGCTCCATGTATGGGTATCCCTCCGTTGGTGAGTGGTTGAGCAGTCCGAGGATACTCTTGTGGCGAGCCATTGTTTTGACTTGGCCGGTCGTCTGGAAGCTGATACCTGGAATTGACGGCAATGAACCCGGACTTTGGCGAGGCTGAAGCGCGTGGTTTCCCTCCGTTGGTTTGATGATTGATATGATACCTCGGCTGTCCCAAATCGAATCCACGGATAGACGGGCTGGGAGCTCCTTCCACGGTCACGGCTTCAGCTTCTCGCCTTGCAAGTATGGCGTTCTTCCGATTCTTTAGTCTATGGTTTAGTTGTCTGGCCCTCGCCGACACTGCTCATGGTCAGTTAAGTTCGGATCGTTCCCCATGTAGATACGCAGAACTCGCCTTGATCAGCTAGTTGCACAACCCCACCCAGATTCTTCTCCAAAATCTCCAACGTCCCCAACTCCTTCTCCTCATCCTCCCCAATCGGCTGCGGCGGAATCAACTTTTCCGGCATCCCACTCTTAATCAGTACATAATCCTCTTCACTGATCTCCACCCGACACTGCTTCGTATAGAACTGGCAGACCCTGTTCCCCTCTCTCATCTTCTCCAGATTGAATTGTTCCGGTTTGTTGCGGGCAAATTCGACAACGTCAAGCCAGCCGACGGATGTGCCTTCTTTGCCGTGGGTTTTGAGCACGCGTGGTGGGCCGTCAAAGATACGTTCGAAGCGTTGGATGAGGATGGGACCGAGAGGCCTAGCGCCGAGGTTGCCGGCCATGGATTCGTGGCGGTGGAGGACACCATCATAGTCGGAAATGAGGGATAGTATGGATGGGAGGGCATCTTCAGGTGAGATCAGAGGGAGAATCTCTTGGTATTGACGAGCTAAATAGTTGATCTGTAGATGATTTGCATTCGTTTTCGGCACTTTGGCCGGAGGTGTGGGCTGTCGATTAGGTTCCTCACCCGACAGACTGCGCTTTCGCTTAGTAGAGGAGTGGTCTGCTGGTATGGAGGGAGGTGAACCCATGTGGTTCATTGTAGCTGTTTGTGGGCTCTTGCCTAATTGCTTCCCCAAGAGCTGACCTCGTCGGAAGGGCTGATGTACCGAGGTTGAGCGGTGGGAGGGGGTGGAGAGCGGAAAGTTTCCTGGGGTCGGAGGTTTTGTTTCAAGAATGGCGGCCCATATTTCTGTAACAAAGAAGACGGAAAGAGATGAAGAGGACAACGTAAAGGATATACAGATCGTACGAAAAAGAAGGGCGAAGAAGAGCACTGCGCGTCTTCGGACAAAGGTTGCAGTGGATTGGATTGGGGAGGATTTCCACCCTCGGCCGGCAATCGGCTGTGGGCGCTGTTTTCGCGCAGGTGAGCTTGTCTTACCCCATCCAACCAGTGCCATTATTGATTACCTTGCTAAAATCGGGAGCATGTATCGGTAAGCATTAATAGCGTACTATAAAAACGGTATTTATGTATCGGCTGATGTTAGTGTGTACCAAGGTAGGGCTGCTGCTAAGCGTTTGGAAAACTGTCAGCCAAACAACATGTCCAACAACGACGACAACCATGGCATAAAGACACAGATGGTCACAATAGAGGTCGTACTTGAACATCATGAAGGATACATCTTACTTACTGATTCTAAGATCCCAGAGTCCACAACCCCAAAATCTGTATCTACCTCGCTTCAACCTTATACTCAGCCTTAGGGCAGGCATGTAAAAACCGATTAGCTGCCTATTTAGTACGGAGAGCGGGTATGTAATTGGAAGTAAGAAAACGACAAAGAAACTCAGTCCAACGCATCCAGTCACATTCTAGCCCCCACTCCACCCACCCGCATTTCCCTCTTGGTGCTCTCGATTATTACACCACCACCAATCGCAACGCATGCGCCGCTTCTATGTCTGAGAGAGGCAACTTCAGAGGCCGTGGGGGAGGAGGAGGAGGAGGACGAGGAGGCGGTGAGCGAGGTCGTGGAGGGGGTGGAAGAGGGGGAGGACATACACAAGGTGCTGAGAAGCCGAAGAAAGAAAATATATTAGATTTGGCCAAGTATATGGACAAAGAGATTATGGTAAAGTTTAACGGGGGGAGGGAAAGTGAGTTGGACACTTGCCTGATGCTTTGTTCTTGGGCGTGCAGTAAGCTGAGTTTGGCTTGGGCGAGATGCTGATTTGTGTGATTGGAATAGTACAAGGGACTCTGAAGGGTCACGACCAGTTGATGAATCTGGTGCTTGATGATGTGCAGGAGATGCTGAGAGGTATGTCCGTCCCGGCTTGCGCTCCCTCCAACTCCTTCTCAAGTTTGCACTGTTATCCTGCATTGCACCTGCTGACGGGTATTGGCTACAGATGACGAAGGCAACACATCCACCCGCTCCCTTGGCCTCATAGTGGCTCGCGGAACACTGCTCGTACTTATAAGCCCACTGGATGGAAGCGAGGAGATCGCGAATCCCTTTAACAACCAGGAGGAGGACTAGCTGGATTAGATGGAAGGACTGAAAACGGGCATGAAAGTCTAGGGCTCGAAATGAGAAGAAGAGGGAGGGCAAGCAAGATCCAAGATCCGGTCATCACACTAATTGCTGTGAACCGATTGAAAGGTTTTATTCTAGTGCAGACTTGCCTGAAGATGGTATAGAAATCAGAGATGATGGCACTCGCATAGCGCCTATGCAGGAGTGGCCGCGTCAGCGCGAGAAAGCTGAAAAGCGCATATCGCTGAAGGATAGTCACATACTAGTAAAAGTTATGAGAAGGTTCCTGAAGGATTGCAAATTTGAAATTTGGATGATTGTGGATCGGAAAAGAGTTCATGCAACTGGCCATGCTATGAGCCCTCCTCCTACGTAACTCTTCCCCTAACCCTCCTATAACTTCACCAGGTGAAAGACTCCTCGATAAAGTCAACTGTAGCCCCCTCACCAACAACACCCCTGACAGCCCCCCTAACCTCATCCGCAAAAGCCCCTGGTCCACAAACCGTCACCACCGTCGCGCCGACCCTATTCGGCAGCTCCTTGCCCAGTATGACAGCCGGATTGCAGCGCCCGGGGAACATCTGCACAGTCTCGCTGCGGGAAACAACTTCTCTCGCACTCCTTGGCTGTGTAACGAAGAGCAGGACTTTGAGCACTTGCTTGCGGTTGCCCATTTGCAAGATCTCATCCATCCAAGGGCGGATCCATTCGAGGGTCTCGGTGTTCTTGACGGACCAGCACAGGACGACTTTTTGAGTTGCGACTGTGCCGGCGCGGTGACCTTGGAGCAGTTCGCGGACGTGGCCGATTTGATGGGTTATGCCTACACCAGCGGCGAAGAGAACGACTGTACCATAGGAGTGGAGGCGGTCGATACCACCGTAGGGTCCTTCAACCAAGCCATAGGTCGTTAAGACGCCGTTAGGAGACGCGCGAGCTTTGTTGAAAAGGGTAGCGGTCATACCAGTGCGTTTAGCAATGATGAGAGAGATGGTTGTGGAGGTGCGAGTTGGGAGCTCAGACATAGCTGATTCGACGTCGGTTTTTGTGACGGAGAGCTCTTCGATTTGGGGAGTGAGGTAGGGTGTTTGGCGTTCGTCTGACCAAGCGATGGAGAAAGGGTGATTCATCCAAAAGGAGACAGTGGGGAGGTAGAGGTAGGTGTGAGTGCCTGGCCTGTAATTCCATGGTCGGACTACCTCGATGCTGACTCTGCATGCTTCGACATCTTTGCCTGGGAGCGCTTCCACTGTAACTCTGCTGAATCGACGCATTGAGACGTTGCGGTAGATGATTCGGAACAAGCGAGCTGAGCGTTCGAGGACCCAAAGTGCGATCACCCAGTCGATGTATGACTCCCCAGGCAGAACGCCTAATCTGCAGTGTACTTTGACACCAATGATCGTGGCCACGGCGAGAACTTGATGGACGTGCAAAAAGAACTCATAAAATGCATGGCGAATGGTCGATGGTGCCTGAATCATAATGATACCCAGGGCCACTGTTCCAAGCAAGCCGTAGGCTAGGAATGGACTCTCTTGAAGATGTTTGCTAAGTCCCTTCATGCCGGCAGCGTCATACTCATTCCAAGCCCATGCGAGAGTATGTGCAAAAGTCTCCACTGCTACGACCCTGCCAATCCATCTGTGGAAAAGGTTGTATGTGTCGAAGCTGATGCGCAATAGCGGGATGAAAGGGCTGTTTCTGCCAGCGAGGATGACCAGAGGAACCATATTGACGATGGCAAGATGACCGGTTCTTCCGCGAAATTCGGCGATGCTCTTGGCTTTTGGCTGGCTGTAGTCGAGGAGAAGGCAGTAAATGGTGTTACTCAACAGATACGCGAGCAACAAGACCGTATGAAGCCTTGATGGAAGGGTTCCAACATTTATGGCCCTTGACAGCTGGATTTCTCTGTTATGTCTCTTTCTCCATAGCGGGGCATAGAAGACTTGCTTCTTGAGACTCGGCCATATCGAGGTCCTATCTTCCGACCAGTATGACTGCTGTAGAGATGTGGAATTGAGACTCAGGAGGTGCCGTAACTGTGCGTTTGCCATCTGCCCAAAACGCACACAGAGGATCACCAGGAAAAGTAGCCCTACCGAGAGCCATAGCATGTATGTGAGGCTGTCATCGAGTGGTATGTCAACTCCAGTAAGACCGTACGTGTAAGGGATGATGCTCTTCGCGGCCTCAGCTGCCGAGGACGACTTTGTGCTGTTCATCGGGCTACTCATGGTTTGCGAAGAATGCCGTAATCCTAGAAAAGTGTATTAGGTTGAATCGTATAATTGTGACCAGCACAGGTCAAGATCGAGGTACCAGACCTTGGATGCGGAGGAAGGGAAGCAGGAAGCGGGATTTGGTGATGCGATGGAGAAGCTGGAGCCTGTCCGCGGTGTATATCGTCGAAGATGGTGGATGTTTCGAGGTCCTTGTATTGATAGAATTGCAGAGAAGGATTCAGTTGTAGCGTGGAGAAAAGTCTATAGTTGAGAGAGATAATGGACAATGGGCGTTGTTGACAGACACAATGGCACTGTACCGATTGTCTTGTACAATCTTTGAACTGATTTGTTCACCAACTATGTTTGTCGAGACATAGATATTGAGTTTGTGCGTTTTTCATGCAATTATTTCTTCCTTTGTCACAATGAAGCTTGGCCGCATAATGATGATGACGACCACCGCCTCAGACGCCGAGTCTCGAGATGCACAGCAAGTCGAAGTCAGAAGCGAAGGGAAGTATGGTGAGGGTGCTTGGCATGATTAAGATTATCAAAAGAAGGTAAAGGTATAGTAGTAATTCATCTATGCAAGGTGCCCGACGTCGCGAAAGGTCTCAGCGAGATGAACGCGAAGGGGGGTGAATTCATCACTGTCGCCATAACACAAGGGCTATAAACATATTGAAGAATAACGAGAAGGTCTCACAAAAGTGAAGTGAGTGGATGTTGCAGCATTACAGTACCTTCACCCTACAAATAGCGCACACCTCGGTTCTGGCCTTATCCAATGCAGAGCTTTGGGATCATATGGTCCTCGTAGCGCCGAGATCTCAGCATCATATCCGCACCCTACGTTCTTCATGTTGCCTGCACCTCTAAAGTAAGGTAATGTCGAAACGTAAAGCAGGGCGCCAAGACGAATCATTAAAAGCCTGAAGAAGGATGCGAACAGGTCGTGAAACAAAGCAAGGACAGAATTGAAGGAAGCTTGAGTGAATGAATGGATGAAAGTCATTGTCGTCGGCGCCAAGCTTTGATTACTATAGAAGCTTACGCGTTTTGAGTTAGCTAGGCGCTTACCCTCTCTGATTGGTTGCAGATTGAAGCTGATGAAACTCATTGAGTTCATCGAACGATGATTGGTGATTGGTGATTGGTGATTGGTGAACCCAAACACAGTCATGTGCACGGTGGTACAGTATTTTACTCGATAAAGCACGGAAATTGTGTGGTTTCCCCAATTCCTGATTCTACCGCACCGAACGCTATGACGTGCCATTACGACTTGCCATGCACTCCATTGCTCTCATGACTTGACTCGTAAGCAAAAGGCGAGTGCTTCCTATCTACCGAGTTACAGCTAGGTAGGTAAAAATATAAACGATGTGTGGCGACATGTACAATCCAACTTCTATATAGCAGACTTCCCCAGACCAAAAGATCAAATGCAGGTACCGGCTGAAGAAGCTTGCGGAAGATCTTCGCCATTTGCTCATTCATTGCATGAAATATTGAACCCGTCTATTGTGGTCTTCTTCGTATGCACCAATCCAAAACACTCACTCGACTGTCGTTCATCGATGTAGCGCTTTTACTTCTTTTTCTTTCCCACCCCATCCATTTCGCCAAGAATAGCAGCGAAGCTCTTCGACGGGTCATGCACCGACATCGGCCTAGCTCCGCTTGGTGCCACTCCTGGAGGCAACGGCATTTGCTGTAGTCCAAGAGCCATAGGGGCCCGCCGTCGATCAGGTGACTGTGAGGCTGTTCTCGATCCCGGCGCTGATGGCATCACAGGCGGTAATAGATCATCAAGATCCGGCTCGTTCTGCGACTGGACATCTGGCACCTCACTGAACCCTGCCCACTTATCCGCCACCTGCCAGCAGTGACTTCGGCGGTAGATACCATCGACGCTGTGTTCAACAACATCAGCTGGCAAGGTCACCAAGGCTGATCCGCCAGCGATGCGGTAAACGCTCTGCTTTTGGCTCGCGCTCTCTTGAACCCATGGTGGGGATCCTTTGGGCACCTCACAAAGGAAGTACTCCACTCCCTTCGTCCATCTCGCACCAGGAGCGTCAACGATTACAAGGGGCAACGCTTGGATCACTGCATACATGAAGATCCACTGTCCATAGCGTAGGTCAACTATCTCTTCGATAGATTTTCCGTGCGCAGTCCTTCGCTCGTAGGCCATGAAAGCTTCGAGGAACGGTGTTGCCTTCATCGACTCTCGATTATAGGACTGCATGAGTGCTTTGTTAATCTCATCGTCCCGGAGTCTCTTCACACTCTCTTTCTTCTGCTTCTTCAGGTCAAGTGTGTCGAACCCTCGCCTTGTATCGAACAATGATGGCACTCGAGGGGTGTCGAATGGCACTGGCGGCTGAACTGGAGGAGTACTGCGATCATATTCATCCAAGATTCTTCGCAAAGCGCGTGGTGCTGGCTCTTGCGGATCGTCCGGATCATGGGATGGAATGTCCGCTGTGCGAGTAGTCAGGGAAGTGCGGTCCACCAGAATGTCGTAGAGATCTGAGAAATCTTTATACAGCTCCCTCAGTAAAAGACGATTCAGTCCGCTTTCCTCAAAATCGTTCTTCTTTGACTGAGCTTTTGGTGGCCAGGCTCCGTATTGATGCTTGTAGAGACTCATAATGTGTCTTCGCATTGACATGTATGCGCTCTTCCAATCTTTGAAGCGAACAATTTTGCTTTCGCTGCTGGTACTGGAATTTGCAATTCCGGCGAAAAGAGAAGGAAAGTCGAAATCCTCCAACCTCGTCTCTATATTTCGAACGCGAGTATAGAGATCCAGGTTTGCTCTCTCTAGCCTTTTTCGAGTGAGGTCAGTGATTAAGTGGAGCTTGGGGCTTTTAAGTCCGTTGATGTCGTCGTATTTTCCAACAGCATGCACAAATCCTTCGTTGTATAGATCCCAAGATTTCATGCGTTCTCCGAGGATCAGAGCTTCGATTGTCTTCTCACGACTTGATCTCACGTCTGCTAGTCCGAATTCCCGAATGAAGCTTGCGAAGTTCCCTGCCGCTTCTTCCCCAAGTGTAGAGCCATCAAGATTCGTAAAGTCGTAACGCTGCAGTACATCAGCAATCTTCAGAAAAAGAATGAACACCGATGCCTGTTTAGGCGTGGCCACCAAAGGCTGACCTGCGAGAAACGCAATCACGTTTCGCATTGTAACAAGCATTTCGACATCTTCATTTGTAGGTAGCGCAGTTGCGTCGCTTAGATCGACTTGCAGCGGTAGCGGAAGACAAAGGTGAATGTCTCTTCGTATTGGCAGTTCCTCAAAATAATCGCTAACAGACCGCGATCCTTTAGAGCTCTCTTGATTTGAGGACCCCAGCCGTTCTGTGGGAAAAAGTGTTGGAGCGTTGAGGGTTAGATGTTGGGTGCGCTCCATGAATGACTGTTGTTGCCAATCGTTTGCTTCCCGCTGGTTGTGTTCTTGCATTCCGCCATGTGCAGCGTATACCAACTTTTTGGAGGCAGCAAAGAGGGCTGAGTCAATCTTGAATGAAGGGCCTCTGCCACCTTCCCTGGCGTGTAGATATACCAGCGTATCGCCATGGTCATTCCAAAGCTCTGGGACCTGGAGAGCTCTTAGCTTTAGGGAATAATTCAAAGGAAGTACTTGGGAAACTAACCCTGTGGAAACTTGCTAGCGCCGAAAGATCGTATGGTATTTTCTCATTAGGTGTGACCATCCAAGCCTGCGTACTGTTCGCATTATTTCCTTCATCCTGCCCCGCCTTTCGAAGTTTTCCTGGCATCCAGCTCCTCCGTTTGGCAAGCTTTGCCTCTGTCGTAGGCGTGAGGGGACGATTCGTTGGTGTTTGTGGACGGAGCCTTATTGGAGATGCAGGACGTGAGGCTGGTTGAGAAGGAGGACGAGATGGAGGGCGACTGCTAGGTGGACGACTACTAGATCTGCTGTCAAATGGATTGCCCCTGCTAGCTGGTCTGTTGTTCGTTGCGTCGCCTCTGCTGACTGGTCTGCTGCCTCCGAGGGAGCCGCCAGGCGATTGCGCCCGAATTGGCAGTGGCTTGAGTAGGGGAGGAGGATTGAGTAGGACATCGTCGTCTTCGATGCGAGGCAGAATCGTAGGATCAAACGGGGGTGTATACCCAGACGACTGTTCGGTATGAAGATTCTGTAGGTGAGAAGTAGGTCGTAAATTGGGCAGGGATTTCCTCGAGAGATTGACGGAATTCCGCTGTTCCGAACCGAGAACATGGCTCTGTTCTCCTGAAACATGGATGGGACTTTGATTCTGCTCCCTTGGAGGTCGCGCAGGATGAATTGAGGGTGACATTCGAGATTCGCTGCTCTGGTCGGAGATGTTGCTGCCCATCGAGAAAATGGAGGAGATGCGCTTGGCTGCCATTGTTGCTGCTGGCATTCGCAAACAGAAGGAGAGTTTTAGGATTATACTGGCAAGTCAGTAGCTGAGGGTCCGGAGGTCCTTCGATCCTGGTCTCACGCACACAGCTTTTCTTCGAAAACGATACGAGGCTGAGACAAAGTGGATGTAAAAAGGGCCACGCGGCAGCTTGCCGAAAGTCGTTGAGCTCCCGAGTACTCCATGTAGTAAGACGGAGTCGACTGCCCAAGGGAGTGACACTGCTCAGATAAAAATACTGGTCTGCCAGAGAAAGGAACGACGTAGGCTTTTGTTATGTACTTTAGTTTGCTGTGCCCGTTCGATAACAAGGAAAATTTGACGACGCCCGCGGATTAACCGGAAGATCCGGGGTAAAAGCTCCGGCTGATCATCCCTATGAACAACATACATAGCAATGATGCTTCAGACATTGAATCATGCGGGTCAGATTCCTGCATTACACTCTATGAAATGGTCTCGTAATTCCTCAACGTCATTCCTTCTCACAATTTGCTTTGGAATACGGAATGACGTCAGTAAGAGCCACGGTCCAGTCTAGATCTTTACGTTTGAATTTCGACCTGCAGGATTTGCGTTGCATGAATTTATGCACTGCTCGCTGGGTCATAACGTCATCAAGCCCACCTTGCACCAAAGAAATCCACACCAGATCGCCGACAAGCCTTCTCTCCAGCTTCAATGAACGGATTGGGCCCCGAGATATAAACCCAAGTCCTACCCCCATTCCCCATTATCGAACCGATCGTCTCATCCATGTTAAGGCGATCGCGACCTTTTCCGGTTAGGAAGGCGCGCACCTCTAGCCCAGGTGTCGTGTTCACTACTGCAAAGTCAGATCGTCAATCGGATCAAAGACAGAGGATCCTTGCTTACCGTGCCAGAAAGGGAGATCGATAAAATCAGCCTCCCGCACACTCCACACGACCACACATCGCTTCCAAATGCTCGCCGCCCCTGAAGGTGCCAAGAAGCTTGAAATGGAAAAGTTTCGCTCTAACGGGGCGCCGTGTATCTTCTCATGCCCAAACATGGTTGTTTCTGGCTCCCAGGCCTCTATCGTGGACTGTCGGCGGAATGCTGCAGCGATGGCGATGGCTCCGGTGACGCCTGTGCCAGCGACGAGGCAGATGACAGTATCGTAACTTGCTGGATTAGCAGGCGTGAAGTATGGCCCTTCAAGCCGAAGAGTGGTTTGGTACTGGGTAGAAAGTCGCTGTCTTTGGAGATCTGATTCTTCCATCTTTTCCGATGGTGGCGACAGGTCTATTGTCACTTCATCAACGAGGTCGGCAAGTTTGTTCGTCCATTGTCTCTTTAGACGCCTTTCAGGAGTTTGTTCTGTCATGGACGTGGAGTAACTCGATGCTTTACTTTTGCGGAAGAGAAATTGGATCATAATGTTCTTGTCTGAGTCCGATGAAGAAAGCTTCTGTGAGGCCAGGTGCGTAATGGTTGTGAAAGGGTGGATTTCTCGTATGGAGGATTCGGTGTGGTGTATGTGGAAATGAGCAAGCGGAGAGTGACATGCGCAGCCTTTGAGTCGATTCCGTGGCAGTGGTACATTCAGACAGAACCACCCTTTACCAACAGCTACCAAAGTACTGTCCATCTTCCCACTCAGCTCATAGATCCGCATGCCCCAGTCGAGTATCCACATGGCTAATCCAGGTGCTGTGCAGTAGAACATCGTACTCGCGTGCAGGCAAATGACAACGACGGCTATTATCATCAGCAAGTGTGTAAAGTAAAAGACATTGAAATGCTTTCGCCTTATGACTGGGAACGTGGTGATGAAGACAGCCAGCATAATCAAACTAGTCGTGAACCCAGTGAAGATGAGCGACGCCCTCCAGATACCAAGTGAGGACGTATTGCCGGGCCAGACCTCGTGATACAAATATGTGGGGTTCAGTACTGGGAAGACCGAAGGTAAGTGGGCTAGGTTTCGGGCGTGGTTGTAGGCCGCGACCCATGATGCGTAGAGTAAACCATGGACCACCACCAGAGCGAATAGGACGTATGCCTGGATCATGTGAAAGGCATACGTAGTTGATGCTGACAGTCTGAAGAATGAGGACAAAGCGCTCTGGATGACTTCGGGGTCAGCAGTTCTCTTTTGTAATGAGAACCGAGGTGTGAAACAGGTTCCTAGGATATTGTACTCCTGCGACAAGTCTCGCTACCCGACACGTAGTACGAATCAGAAGGAAATGTTTTGGATGCGATAACTCACGTTTCTAGCAACCGGAAGTAGGACCATTCCCATGGTGACATCGCAGATACTGTCGACGTTCTCCAGTCAGCGAATATCCTTTATGGCCGGAAAATGGAATCATGAAAAACATGCCTGGACTACGGGAGTCCCGAAACATGCCTCAGGAACTCCAAGGCGTTCAAAGAAGGAAGTGCGAGGCTAGGGAAGTCGTACTGGCCTGTCAAGGCAACAGCGGCCACACGCCGATTTCCATTCATCATCCCACCCTGTTCTCCCCTGGTCACGAAGTACCCTCGCAGACGCAGCCACCATATCCCAATGAGGATGCCGTAAAGACTCAAGACCCAAAGGATGACCAGCACTCCGCTAATTGTCAAGGATTTTCGAATGATGGGTAATTGGTTGGTGTAAAGTTGTTTATGGAGGCTACGCCGTATAGATGGATGGAAGGCTCGCAGGGCCAGCATTGTGACGGAGAGGGAAAGCCAGCAGTACCAAACGACGATGTGAAGTCGCGCCTGGAGCGGAAATAGCCACTCTCCGCAAGTTCCTGCATAGCAGTGGTGATCGGATCGAAATGTGAGACCGAGAGATAGAGCAAAGGAAGCGATGAGACTTCCAGTTAATGGCCATAAGCAAGTCCTTGGTGTGATCCTTTTCATTGCGATGATGGTCCATTCTCGAAGGCTGGTCCATATGGACAGCCCCGTAAACTTGGGGGACATTGGCTATTAGTACCATAAAGACGCAGACACGCTAGCGGTGCGCTACCCTCTCGCCCTCCAAGGCGCAATTGATTAGGTTTGGTGGAGACCACGTGCTAAACAGACATTCCAGTTAGATCAAAGTAAATCAACATTGACTAAGGTATCGTGATATGGTTTTCGTTATCGATGGAAAGATTAACAACGTAGTTTATGCGTATATTTTACGGTGTTCATATATTTCATATATACTTATCAACCCCGTATTATGTGAGACGTCGGTTGGTCCGCGCTCCACATTCCGATTTTTCTTTTCAAGGCAGAATTTTGAAATCCTATCTGTTTCCGAAGGGATTCCTGGATTGCCGTCGGGTTCGTAGGTCAGATATGGAATCTTGACAATCCTTCGATGTTCACGTCCGTAAGCCTGACCTCGTGTGTTGGTGAAGCTACGCGTATGGTTGAATGCTCAAATCGCATTTGTTTGCAAGGCACCGTCATTCGTGGGTTTCCATCGTCCGGGTACACTGCGCAACGCACGAGCAGAACCCGTTATCAAGTCCTCTGGGAGCTGCGTCGGGCTGACGCCTTTTCATGATCCTCCGAGCTTGTCCAGCTCGAAAGGACTCATGCATGGTGGGTGGGGAGACGTCGATGAGAGATCCAGGCCATACAATAGAGCAGGTTGAAATGCAAAAGTTCACTCGAGGTCTTGCAGGATCATTACCCGTATGATCGGACTGCCTCCTGACGGGGGTACCCAGCGCCAGCGGCGGGATCTTGAAAATCATGTCAAATAGTAAACATATTGGAGTCTTGCTCTCAGCGACAGAGTATTGTTTCAATAAAACCATAGAATATCATACGTCAGGATACACAATAAGACGATGAAGAGCAGAGGGGTTTTCAAAGGGAAAAGGAGCTTGTAGCAAATGATCAAACGTTCAGATAGTAATATTGAAAATGCATCTCTTTTCTGCGACCCTTGATGCCTCGTCGCCTCGAAATGGCGATTGATAGACAGCAAAAGAACCATTTGCGGACGACCCACCCTGAAAGAAGCGGGAGCACAGGGATCCGAATGGCTGAAATGGCCGCCATTGTCTCTCTCGCATTACGTTGAAACTCTGCCGATCATCGCTATCAGCTGGCTCCGTTGCCCATATCCTCTCAAGCGCAGCAATCGATGATCGACTGCAAGACGCAGATAATACCAGGCCACCAACTGAGCAGCTCTGGAACAATAACGAAGGATCGCAAGTAAAGCAAGGCTGGTATGTCGAGAGTTCGGCGAGAGCGAGAGGATGCAACGCTCCCGAACCCAAGTAGAAAATGATTCCCTAATCTTCTACGAGTAATCTTGAAGGCTTATTATTAGTCATCCATCTACCAATAATCGTCACCCTTCACCTACTTTGAGACAACAACCTGATTCACGCATAAGATGAATGGTTCCTCCAAGCCTTGGTCTCTTATCGATCTACTGAAGGGATGGCCAAATCCGTTTCTGCTGCCCGCGGTCCAGATCAAGATAGCCTCCTCTATTGCTCTCTCCAATGCTGACATCTCCACCCCCGGTCTCCTTTACGGACCTGATGATGGATATGGACCGTTGCGAGCACACATCGCCGACTGGCTTACGCAATTCTACCAGCCCCTCAGCCGGATACCGGCCGAGCGAATCTGCATTACTGGAGGGGCCAGCCAGAACCTAGCATGCATTCTCCAAGTCTTTTCAGACCCGCTTTTCACGAGGAATGTATGGATGGTGTCCCCAACCTACTTCCTCGCTTGTCGGATCTTTGAGGACAGTGGCTTTCATGGTCGGCTGCGGTCTGTGCCCGAAGATGAAGAGGGGGTTGATGTTGAATACCTGAGAAAAGCGTTGCACCAAAGTGAGACGAAGGCGCAGGCAGAAGGCAACACGCAACCGGTATGACACAGGAGAAGATTCACGGTAGAACACTCTGCTGAGCTCGTCTTTATCAGACTCTGAAACCTACACGACCATGGAGCAAGATCTATCGGCACCTCATATATGCCGTTCCTACGTTCAGCAACCCATCGTCTAGGATCATGAGTCTCCAACGTCGTGAGGAGCTCGTCCAAGTCGCCCGCGAGTACGATGCTTGTATCATCACGGATGATGTCTACGATATGCTACAATGGCCCACGGACAAGACTGCCGTTCAGCCTAGCAGAGAGCATGCCTATCTGCCTCGTCTTGTCGACATCGATCGGACATTGGAAGGCGGTGCCGAAAGGGAGGGCTCTGACGGATTTGGAAATGCCGTCAGCAATGGCAGCTTCAGTAAGATAGCAGGGCCGGGGTGTCGAACAGGCTGGCTGGAGGGTACACAGAAGTTTGTTTGGGGGACTTCTCAAGTGTAAGCTTTACAGTGGCAATTACTGTCGACCCTTGTTGACATGCATGGTAGTGGATCGTCGAAGTCCGGTGGGGCACCCTCACAGCTGACCTCCACTTTTGTGTCAAACCTCATCGAGTCAGGCGAACTGCAGCGTCACATCTTCAAAACCTTACAACCTACGTATGCCCGGCGATACCAAAGCATGATCACGGCCATTGAAGAACATCTACTGCCCTTGGGAGTGCAACTACCTCAGACGACTCGTGACGTGGTGGGTGGCTACTTCATCTGGCTGTCGCTGCCCGCTCCGATGCAAGCCGAAGAGGTTGCAGTGCGTGCACAGCAAGAGGAGAACCTCATCATAGCGCCTGGGCCCATCTTTGCGGTCTATGGCGATGAGAAGGCAGTAGACCTCGAGAGGAAGGTCAGAGTATGCTTTTCGTGGGAAGAGGAGGCAATGCTGGCCGAGGGTATCCAGCGCCTTGCTCAGGTGATCGGCAGGATGCAAAGGAATCAGCGCCAGCAAGAGAAAGCGACACCATCCCCGCGAGAAGGAAGCAGCTTCCTGGTAGAGCGACACCGTTGAGCTCCGAGACATCTAATTTACCAGGAGGCTGTCTATTAATGAAAAGGAGCACAGAAGTCAATGCGAGGTACCGGACCAACGGCAGAAATTTAAGGCAATCAAACGAGTCCAAAGCATGGCTGGTCACAATCTCTTTGGGCGGCAAATCAGCATCCTCAGGCTCTCGGCAGTACCCATGACACCAAAACATTGTTTCATAGCTTCCAATGCAAGTCACCCTACGCACGAGCGCGCTGCTAGCTTGCGGGGAAATTTGCTAAGAAACCTGGGGTATATTATTCGCCGTTTTCACACCTGAACTTCCTAGCTTAGCTCGCCAAAATAAAAACTTAGTCAATCACGGTGTGGGGTCAAATAATGGGCTTCAGGGTTCATAAATCATGCGTCCATAGGGAATGACTTGTGCTCTTTTCTCCGGCGTGTCCTGCTATGCATAAGGATGATCGGAAAGAGATGAATCGAATGCAGAGAAGGTCGCCATGTAACGAGTGCATCCGTGGTAGAACAAAGCAAGAACAATGTCATCGTCGTCATCCATGTCCATGATCATTAGATTTGCAGGCCGAGCACGAAGGCCAAAATGTGAAGATCTCGGAAGGAACTCCGAACTGCCCAACTGGTTGGTTGCTCTAGATACCCTGCCTAGCGCGGGCGACTGCCGGCGCTTCAGACGAAATAGCCAGCCACTCAGATCAACCACATGCCACTTATTCAACCAAACTGATACTCGCGAGAACACTCGTTTCATTTCTTTGCCAGCCATTCATTCTCTGAGCTCCAAAGGACGCGCATGTTTTGCCTGCAGGTCTTATCGTTGTTTCGGAAATAAGGGTCCACCTTCATTTGACTGTCTATTGTCGCTTACTCTCAGTGCTTCCTAAGGGCGGTCGCCAGACTATGGTAATACTTACGGTTAAAGTTTCATAGCAAGTAGAACAGAACAAATCCGATGGTCACAGTGGTATTTCGGGCTTCTATTCGCAGCCTACCGCCGGCTGAGGGGGCACGAACCGGCGCAAGGTTCTCAACACTAGGGTTCATCTCAACCTCCATTCCTGAACACACAGCCTTACACATGACTGGTCCATTCTTACCCCGACCATCCCCTGATGCCTTTGAATGTGACTCGAATGGCCACTTGCGTGGGCAGCATGTCCGTCTCCTCAGTATGCGGATCAGGAAGGCCATGGCGGGGAAGGCGGTGCCTATATATCCAGGCAGGGCGCAGGGAGGGAGGATCAAGACCCAGGAGCTCTTATATCAAATCAACGCGCGGCAAACGCAAAGCCCCTTTCACTTGTAAGCTGTTTCATACCTTTTACCCTGCAATAGGCATTGCCCCATCCTCGATGCTATTCTTTGTCTTCATGACACATTCACCATTGTTCAAAGCGCGTTGCTTCCTAGACGACCTCTTTGTGTTATCTAACGCACAATCCTTTCACTTCTGGCACCTGCCAAGTCTTTCTTTGTCACATCTCCTTTCATCAACAACATCGAACGTTCATTGTTAACCCACAATTATCTTTGTGTCTCCTAATCATAACTACATCTCAGCGCTGGTTCGCTGATATCTTCTGACCTTAAGTCTTTCTTTTCCATCTTCACCAACCTTCACCACCGCAACTTCAACACAAAAGATCTCATCATCATGGTCCCCTTCTCAGCAGCAGCGCTGTTCGTCACCCTTCGCGTCCTCCTTCTTTCGGTCTCGACTTCACCGGTTGAAGCTGTGCCGATGACCTCCAGCGTCACCACCCACAGCAAAGTCGCCTCAACCTCATCGCCGTACTGGGTTGCCAACATCCAGCGCCAAGGTACTGTTGCATTCGGCGACGCGTCTTACAAGGTCTTCCGTAATGTCCAGGAATATGGTGCAACTGGTGATGGCACCACCGACGACACCGCAGCGATTAATAGCGCCATTACCGATGGCAATCGCTGCGGTCTAGGCTGCGATTCCAGCACAGTAACCCCAGCTATTGTGTACTTTCCACCAGGAACATACCTGGTTAGCGCGCCTATCATCCAGTCCTATTATTCCCAGTTCATAGGCGATGCTGTTACTATTCCCACGATCAAAGCATCAGCCAGCTTCACGGGTATCGCCGTCATCGATTCTGACCCATACACGAAGGGCGCTAACTGGTACACCAACCAAAACAACTGTAAGTTACATCTTCCGAGGCAATCCTTCCCCATTCGTGCTGTCTTATGAGTCGTCAGACATCTCAAGATTCCTCTGCTCATAAGACATGTTTCGCGATTCAGATTTCCCTCCCAAAAGAGTAATGCTGACTCTGACGAACTAGTCTATCGCCAAGTCCGGAACTTCGTCATTGACATTACTTCCATGCCTGCTACTACTGGCGCATGTATCCACTGGCAAGTTGCTCAGGCTACCAGCCTGCAGAACATCGTCTTTGAAATGGTTCAAGGTGGCACCAACAACAAACAAGAAGGTATCTTCATGGACAACGGTTCGGGTGGATTCTACTCTGACCTGGTCTTCAATGGGGGCAACTACGGCAGTAAGTTATCATTTTCTTCCTTCCTTCTAGCACATTTCGAGTCTGCATTACCATTCGTAGATAAAGAAACTTTTATCTACGAACGGGAATGCTGACTCCGAAACGTGCTGTTGAGACTGGTTTTCGACTCTTTACTCCCCAACCATGTCTAGTTACTCAAACCTTTATCTAACGATGGGAATGCTGACTCTGAAATGTGCTAGTGTTCGTTGGAAACCAGCAGTTTACTACCCGAAATTTGACCTTCAACAACTGCAACACCGCCGTCTATATGAATGTAAGGCACTTTTCCGAGTTCTTCCTTCATGTTCGAGAATTACTTTTCAAACCTTTATCTACAGATGGGAAGCTGACTCTGAAATTTGTCTAGTGGAACTGGGTATGGAACCTCAAGTCTATCACAGTCAACAACGTAAGTTTCCCAGTCCTTCCTTTCTCTAGTTATTCAAATAGTTGCGGAAGGGAAGCTGACTCGCGCGCGCAGTGCGGGGTTGGCGTAAATATGTCAAACACCCCAACCAACCAGACCGTGGGCTCCGTCCTAGTCCAAGACAGCAAGTTCGTCGGAACGCCAAAAGGTATCATCACAGCCTTCAGCACGACTGGCAATACTCCGACCACCGGCAACACGCTCGTCATTGACAATTGCGATTTCACCGGCAGTACGGACGCCATAGTCAGCTACACTGGGGAAACAATCCTCGCAGGTGGTTCCGTGGTCTCGTCATGGGCCCAAGGTCACGCATATACCACCGGCGATGACGGCTCTGCATCTGCCGCAACATGCGCAAGTGCGGCTGCGTCAGCCTCCAGCACAACGATCCAAGGGCCATTGACCGCAGCTACCAAACCCGCTATTCTCATGGATGACTCCAATATCTTCGAGCGCTCCAAGCCCCAGTATGAAAGTATCGCATCCTCATCTTTCGTTAGCGTGAAATCGGCCGGAGCCAAAGGTGATGGAGTATCCGACGACACTGCCGCCTTGCAATCAGCCATGAACAGTCTCAAATCTGATCAGATTCTCTACTTCGATCACGGTGCCTACGTTGTCACTTCCACGGTCAAAGTCCCCAGTAACATCAAGATGACTGGGGAAATATGGCCCCTAATCATGGCTTCCGGTACCGCATTCGCCAATCAAGCATCGCCAGCTCCCGTCTTCCAAGTCGGCCAACCAGGCGACACCGGCGCGGTCGAAATGAGCGACCTCATCTTCGAGACCAAAGGGCCAGCCCCAGGTGCAGTCATGGTGGAATGGAATGTCGCCGAGTCCTCTCAAGGTGCCTCGGGCATGTGGGATGTCCATATGCGCATCGGTGGCTCGGCTGGCACTAGCTTGCAAAGCAACACTTGTGCCAAGAACCCCAATGTCACGGCCAACTACAACGCGAACTGTGAAGGTGCCTTTCTTCTCCTGCACGTCACCACTAAAGCGACTATCTACCTGGAAAACAATTGGTTTTGGGTCGCCGACCACGAGCTTGACCTCGCCGACCACAACCAGATCAATATTTATAACGGTCGCGGCATTCTCGTCGAATCGCAAGGACCAGTCTGGATGTACGGCACCAGCTCTGAGCACAGCCAGCTCTACAACTTCGAGTTCGCCAATGCTCAAAATGTCTATGCTGGGGTCATCCAATCCGAAACACCATATATGCAATCCAATCCCACAGCCCTTAACGGCGGTTTCACGCCCAGCGACACCTACTTCGACCCTGACTTCAGCTCCTGCAACGGCGATGCCGGCTGCGAGAAAGCGTGGGGTCTGCGCATCTTCGCTTCCAGTGATATCCTTGTCTATGGCGCAGGGTTATATTCATTCTTCGATAATTATGATCAGACGTGCCTCGCTACCGAAAGCTGTCAAGTCAACAGTAAGTGCTCTTTCCCCTTTCTGACTTCTTCCCCTTTCATACCCTTGCCCGAGTTTTCAGACCTAGCAGAGAAACATGTCTTGCTCTTCAAACGTAAAATACTGACTCGAATGATTAGTGGTTAGCATTGAGTGCAGCACGGCAATCTACCTATGGGCCCTGAGCACCAAGGCGAGTACGAATATGGTCACTGTCGATGGAACTGGGGTTGTGAACGAGAGTGACAATATGTCTAACTTTTGTCAGACGATTGCTTTGTTCGAGGAGGCTTAAACAATGTTTGCAATTCGCGCGGTTGGGAGGAAGCGGAGGATTCGCTTTCTTCGCTTTCTACGTACATATTTCAATTCCCATGAAGTTTGCTTTTCGATTCAAATACATAGCTCAATATCTTTCGACTCTCATGAACTCAGCTTCCGAAACAGATTTCTCCGTTCCCAAGGCAGTGAGATATATCATTGCGGAGCGAAATAAATGGTGATTTTGAATAATAGAGCGGAGCAATGAGTAAGGAGTACATAGAGTGGAGTAGATAAGCTTAAGCAGCTTCGCTGATATGCCTTTCGTTGAACAATAGAGCGGAGCAATGAGTAAGGAGTACATAGAGAGGAGTAGATAAGCTTAAGCAGCTTCGCTGATATGCCTTTCGTTCGTGTCGCTTACTTGCAGCTAAGAACCGGACATTCAAAGTTTCGGCGCTTGTTGCCATGTATGGACGAGGACTGACGTTCGAGGTCGCCCCCGCGTTTCGTGACGAATTCGCAGCCGGTCTCACGCCATCTCCAATCTCCAGGCTTGCCGTAATGGGATCGCTCGTTCTCATGCCAAAGACGCTTTGGCAGATTATTGTAGTGCTCTCTCGCATCATTCTTTGTTGTCCATTGAACAGCCAGGAATACGGCAGCCAAAGGTCCTCTCATCGAGACACCTATTAATAATAGAAGATCGGACTCCCAGTAGTTTTTCGAAATAGCGCCAGTAGTCAAAATGGCCATCGAGACAAGTCGTGCAAGTACGAGCCTGATCAGATACGAGGGTTTCCAGCTCATGGGAGTCTTGCGTGGAAACATTTCGCCCTGCCTCGATTGGAGAGACAGTCGAGGCTGGCGCCTGTTGAAGTAGAACGGGGTCCAACACGGCTTCTGATGTCTCAAGGTTGCTTGGACGGCCATGGTGCCGATGCCGGCTGGTCTTGGCTTGCGATGGTGTCATTTCCGAGACCCACTTGAGCCAAGGCTCCTTCGCGATCCAAGTCTACGCGTCCGGCAGCGATGTCGTATCTTTGCGACTCTTGGGTAACCGTAGGGGTTATGCTGGCTCACGAGCTGCTGATTGTGCCATGCATGGACGGTGGTTGAAGGCCATTCTGCAACGTCGACTAGTTTGTATCATCCGAGAGGCTCATCATCGCTAAGCGAGTCCAGGTGCGTGGCAGGGTAAAAGTAGGTGTTTCTGCGCCCCTATGTCAGCCAGTGAAAGAAAAACCTACGCAACCTGACCCGTCTGATCACCATGCATGCCGGGTCCGATATCGCCCTGATCGACATCATCGGGCGGAATGATGAGGAAAGCCCCGAAATCGAAGTCATCGGTCCAATCAGGCATGTCGTTGTCCATTTCGAAGATTTTGGGGGTCATGATTGGGTTATAGAAAGGGCGCGGGGGCGTTGAGGGTGTGCGGGCAAATCCCTCGCTTGCGACGAGGCTGAGAGGTCGATAGGATGCAAGGCAACCTTGCAAAGAGTTGGCGACAGGGTGAAAAGAGAGCTGGGGGCGCGCGTTGCTTCTATGTTTGCTGTGTGGTAAGCAGGACGCCCTGAGTTAAGTGCACGGCGGGTCTCGGTAGCCTGTGACTTGCTATTGGATGCTTGAGACTCCGGATCTTCGAGCAGCTTAAACCTGAAAGAGGCAGTTCGGACGGGGCCGTTGTAATCTCATTCGGTATCTTCTAGTATTTTCAATCATATAGAACGGCTGTGCCAGTAGATAATAAGCGAATCCAAGAAATCTAAGATGCAGTCAACCCGAACAGCTTAATCGACTCCTCGCCCTCAACGTCGCCCCGCAAAAGTAAAGCACCCAGATCCCTCCCACACATGCCACCGTAAACGCAGCCAATAAGCTGATCCCCTGTCCAATTCCCAGATTCAAATACAAGGGCCTTGCAAACAAGATGGCCCCTGCTGCCATGGCAGATCTCGTGAAATCGTTGCTTGCGAAAAGACTAGCCGCATACTGCGGATAGGTTAATGGTACGTAGAGGAAAATGCACTGCAGGACGATGAAGACGCCAAAGGCATAGATGCCGATGCCGACAACGCTGACGATCCAATGAATGTGGCCGTTTGCGGTCCCACCGAAGAGGAACAGGCCAATTGGGAGAAGGAAGGAGCCGTACAAAGCCGACAAAAGGCGTTGTTCCGGAGGGCCAAAGCCATTGGCTTTGATATTGGGTTCGAGTATGAAATATAAGTAGCTAAAATAAGTGATGATGGCTAGGGCAGTGGCAACAGCGATGGATAAGAATGCCAGACCCATCTGTCCGAAATTCAAGTGATAGAGACCAATATAAACCAATGGGAACACTTCGAAGAAGGAGTAGTAGATTCCGTAGACCATGTGTCTATAGGGTAGATATCTACTGTGAAGTCTTTGTGCCAAGCCACGGTAGGCCTAATTGGGTCGAGTAGGTGTGTGTCAAGTACCTTATCTATCCTGTGATACTTGTCTCCTGCAGCTTAATCGGCCAACGGGCCACTCACCGACGTCTTCAGCCTGAAGGACACGTGGACGAATATCGGCCGTCGAGCCGAAAACGCACGCTCCTTTATTTCCAGCTCTGAGCTCTCAGAGCTCAAGGGCATAAGCAAGCGATATGGCGAGTGTTTATGACTACCGCGTACTTCGATCGACTGTTCAGGAAATCAGAGTGCTCTGCATCGATCCAGATCGCAATGTAAGCGATCATACTCCTTTGAGATGCGAATTGAAGCACATCTCTGTTCAGGATGTGCCAATTGAGCATTTTCTTGCCGTATCTTACTGCTGGGGCACCAGCAAGAAGCGTGCACCAATTGTTATTGATGGTCAAAATGTTACAATACCTCAGACCGCTGCCGTTGCAATTCGGAATCTTTCGAAAGTCTCTTCCTACCCGTTGTGGATTGATGCAGTCTGCATTGACCAGAACAATCTTCAGGAGAAAAGCCAGCAAGTTGCCATGATGAAGGAGGTATATTCGAAGGCTGTTTCAGTCCTGATATGGTTAGGACCTGCCCAGAGATCCACAGCTGATTCGATCGCCTCCATTGAGAAGATACATGAGCAATGTCTCGGAGCCATAGGTGGCTTAGAGCATCTCGACGCTCATCTGTACGGAAGTGACGGTTCACCTGGCTTCAAATACTCTGATGCGCCCTTGCCGGACTCCGACTGGCCAGCCTTGCAGGCATTCTACTCTGCTCAGTGGTTTGGCAGGCTATGGGTCATACAAGAGATAGGACTCGCGAAAGACTCCACGGTTTATGTTGGCTCCTTTTCAATCAGTGCCGAGAAAGTGGTTTTAGCGGCGCGCTGGATGGTGCATAGAAAGTACACACGCTATTGCGAAGGATTGGAGAGTCTTGGGATTGAGAGCGCATCGAGCATGTACCGACCTGCAGGTCGACCGCTTTCGAACCAGCTAAGGCGAACGCACAGAGCCGGCTGCAGGGAAGCTCAAGACAGGGTCTATGGGTTGCTTGGTCTGCTTCGCGAAGAAACAGCTTCAGCTATTGTTGCCGATTACACCAGACCTCTGGTCGAAATCTACGCCCAGGCCATCCGTCTTGCTCTGTACGAAGCCGGTGATCTGTCTTTCCTCCAATTTGCTGCATGGTACAAGAGCCTTGAACCGCGCAATACTAGAGCCAGACGTTTTATTCAATGGGTGAGCTGCAGCTGCCTGATGCCACGATACTTTCAGGATGCTCATTGGCCTTCGTGGGTCCTCAAACTGCACGGCGAGACCTCTGACGAGAGCGGAGCGTGTCGGAACGTGCCGATTTTTAATCGAAGCAGCATGAGTGCAAGCTTTGGTTTGCAAACCAGGATATTGGACAAATCCCTGACGTTGAGTCTCAGAGGTCTGACCATAGACACGACTTCCTTGGTTGGTCCAATGTTCACGGTCGATCTGCTGAAAGACTCTTCAAAGTTGGCTGAAGCGGTGAGGTGGTGCGTACAGCACGGTTGTCAAGAGCGTACACCAGAAGATGCCACTTATATGAAAGATTTAGCAATATGCTTGACTTGTGGATCCAACAAGGTCAATGCAGACGCAGAGCTAGACCAGACGCACACACAAGCCTTTGAGCTTTTTCTACAGGAGTGCCGGCAGCCTTCGACTGCCGTTGGACGCAAGATGTCAGGAAAGCTTAATGGGCTCTTACCTTGGGTTCCACGCCAGGATCCTCCATTGTATTGGCATGATCTGTGGACTAAAGCCATCAACCGGCGCTTCTTTATAACAGCAACGGGTATGATGGGCATGGGCCCGCCGGCTACCAAAGCTGAAGATCTCGTCTGCATGCTATTTGGGAGTGAGGCGCCGTTCGTACTTCGGCCAGTAGGTCATTATTTTGAGTTGATTGGTGACGCTTACGTGCGAGCCGGAGGAATGCCATGCAACGGAAAGGCGTGGAGCGATGCTGCCGGGCATGGTGTTCCAGCTGAGAATACTCGAGGCAATGATCTAGTACTTATCTTTGCGCGGACGCGCAAGGCGGAGAGGTGGTTCGACATCATCTAAAGAAACGTGCTTCGTGAGCTCGAACGAGGCAGATGGAAACAGCGTTCAAGTTTTTATTTTTAAACGTTCATTAGGGAGTTTCAGATCACTTTTTTTTTTGCTGTGGAATCGTGGAATATTTAGACTTTCAGCTATAATAAAATAAATTAATCTAAATTAATCTAAATACCTCTACTATTAAATAGGCTTCTTTAATAGATTTATAATAAAATCGCTTAATTATTACTCGAGAAAATCGTATAATCTTCTCTATATCTAATTCTTATATAGCTATATCTTATTTATTAAAAAAAGAAGTATATAGATATAAGCTATTCTATCTCTTTCTTATTAGTTATATAAAACGCGATTCTAGATATTAATATATATAAAAGAATAAGATAGAATTAAGTTTAAAAATCTTAAATTTATATATATAGCTATTTATTAATTCGAGGTTATTACGCTTTTTAACTAGATCGACTAACTTATCGCGAATAAATAAATTAATATTCGTAACTATTAAAATCTCGCCCTCCCGCGCCTCTCTTATTAAAAAAATAGATATATATTATTAATATATAGAATAACTTTTTTATTTTCTATTAGTATTTTGAGATTTTTTTTTTAAATTTTAAACCGCTATTTATAATTTCCGAATTTTTAAGAATTTTAAAATTTAGTCTTATAATCATTAAAGCGCAAGGAATTCAAATATCGCTCACCAAAGTTCGCTCATTAAAGTTCGCTCATCAAAGACCGCTTATTAAATTTACTCGACAGCTCTAATTAAAAAAAAAAAATTATAAATTTAATTTATAGACCTTTACTCGTTATATAATAAGAAGATAATTAATAATTTACGAAGTATTTATAAAGCAGCGTTATATAGAGTCGTAATTCTTTATATCTAAATTAGATTAAGCGAGTTATATTCTTTTTTAATATAATAATACTCGATAGCGAGTCTTTACTTATATAAATTTTAAGAGTTTTTAGTATATTCTTTAACTTAATCTTTTATAATTCTATATTATACGAGTAAAGACTTATAAATTAAATTTATAATTTTTTTTTAATTAGAGCTATCGAGTAAATTTAATAAGCGAACTTTAATAAGCGATATTTAGATTTCTTACTTATTAATAATTATAGAATTAAATTTTAAAATTCTTAAAAATTTAAAAAGCGTAAATAACGCTTTATAATCTTAAAAAAAAATCCTAAAATTTTAATAGAAAATAAAAAAGTTATTTCTATTATAAATAACGTATATCTATTTTTTTAATAAGAGATCTTAAGAGAGCTAGCGAGCTAACTTAGCTAGTCTAATTAAAGAGCGTAATAACTCTAAATTTATAATTAACTATATATATAAATTTAAGATTTTATAACTTAATTCTATTTTATTCTTTTATATATATTAATAATAACTTTAATTATTAATAAGCTTTAATTAAGATATAATTTAAGATTATATTATAAAAGCTAGAATATAATAAAAGTATAAATAATTATCGTCTCTCAGCTAGTTAATAAAACGTCTTAGAGAAATATATAAATAATTATATAAGATAAGTTATAATAGCTCTATTTTAGTTATAAGAATAATATATTTAATAATTTTTTAAAATAGAGTAATAATATAAGAGTATAGTAAATAATAATAGAGAAGACTTTCTCGAAGTAATAAAAAAGGCGGATAAAATAGATATCGTATTATTATATAAATCTAAAAGTGTATTTAATAATAAAAATTTCTTTAATAGAAAGAAGAGATATATAATTAATCTTTATAATATATATAACTCGTCGAAGAGATTTATCTATATACTTATCGACTTTTTAAATATTATTTATAATATAAGAGTATAAAATTATATTCGATTATATTAAGACTTAAAAGTCTACTTCTTAATAAGATAATATATACTCGTTAATAATATATATATTAATATAAAATACTTAATTTTATTATATAAAGCTTTATATACGAGATAAAAAAGAATTTAAATATTTAATAGACGGCTTTTTAGCGTAAGAATCGATATTAAATATATATTCAATATTTTTAAAAGAAGATAAAAGAGTCTTATCGAGCTAAGACTAATCTTAGTTAATAATAAGTAATATAAATTTATATATATATAAATTACTATCTATATTATTCTTTATAATATTCTATTAAATCTTAATAATATTTAAATCGAAGAAGAAGAATAATAAGTTGAAGATAACGATAATAATAGATATAATAATAAATTTTTTAGTCTTATATCGCTATAGCGACGTTAGAAATATAATAAGAGAGAGATAATAAGAGCTATAGTTCTTAAAAAGATATTTTAATTTTTATTTTTTTTATATAATAAGAAAATTAAAGTGAAGATAGAGATATAATCGTAAATAACGATATTTAATTCTTTTTAAAAGATATAGCGCGATAAATTAATATAGAATTTTAGTATTAGGCTTAACGCGAGTATATTTAATATATAAAATACATTTATTCTTAATAGAATACTTACGATATTTTATAAAACTATCTTTTAATACTTTGCGGAGAAGAAAATCTTCTTTATAAATATTTTCTTCTTCAACTATATTTTATATAAATTTTATATTTTTTTAAACGAGTAATAAAAGGAGATAATTAAATATTTATAAGAAATCTTATAATCTTAAAGCGTAATATAGTATAAAATTACTACTAAATCGACTTAAGTAGAGTACTATATATATATCTAACTTTACGTCTCTTCGTAAGTACTTTTAAAACTATTATTTAACTCTATATTTAATTATTATTCGAGAATCTAAAAACGTTATATCCTCGCTATTATTCTTTATATTTTTATATTTTAAATTAAAAATATAATACTCTCTTTTTACTTTTATTAATAAGAATATTAAAATAAGCTATTTTAGAGATATAATAAAGATTACGCTATTATCTTTTAAGCTTAAATTATTAATAACGATTTTTTCTATTTTATTTAGCAAGCTCTCTTTAATAAGAGTTATTTATCTTCGCTTATTTAAATATAGATTTCGCTATAATTATTCGTTCTTTACTAGATTTTCAACAACTACGGCGAGACTTCTCGATATTATCGCTATTTAAGTCTTTCGAGATAATTAGTTATTTAAATCCCTTCGAAATATTTAATTTATCTTTCGCTTTAAGAGCTTTAAGAGCTTTAGAAATTTATATAAAAACTTATTCTAATATCTTTATAGAGAACTACTCTATAATTTTAATTAGAGTTATCTTAGAGTAATATAGAATAAGCGTTTTAAATAGCTAAGTAAGAGGCTTCGAAGGAGACTCGTTAAGAAAGTTATAGGAATTAATATTTAAAAGAGAAAGAGAAAAAAGAATAATCTTCTCAATTATCTTCTTCGCTATCTTCGTTTTATCTAATATCGTTATAATTAAAGAATAAGCTAAATATTAAAAATCTGAATCTTTTACGTTATTAATCTCTTTCTCTTTCTTAATTATAGATTTCTTATACTCTTCTAAAGCTTTCTTATTAGTATTATCCTCTATATCTTTATCGTTAAGTTTATTAAGATTTATCTTCTCGATAATCTATTTATTACGTTATAGAGACTATTTAGATTTAATAATAATTAAAGAATTAACGTCGAGATAATAATTATAAATATCTTCTAAGTTATAGAATTATAAATACTTCTTAAAAATAAAGTCTTTTATTATAATATTATATAGATTATTTAAATTATATATCTTATAAATATTAATATTAATATCTTAGTTAGATTCTTTAGCCTTTATTCTTATATTTTTATAATTTTTAATTATAGTATCTATTTTATTAATAATCTTCTTCTTTATTATTAATAGCTTATTAATTAATCTCATATCTTTAAGTATTCTTTTCGCTATATTCGTATATATACTTATTATCTATATCTTATAATTAATTATAACTTCTTTCTTATTACGATTATAAAATTATTATATTATAAGATTAACAAGTAAAGGCCCATGAATTAAATTTATGGAGTTGGATTTTTCTAAGTTAAATCGAATTTTAGCCCTAGCCTAAAGTCAAATCGAACTCTAATCGCTTACTGTACATTTTTGACCTACTTTCATCACTATAAAATTAATTTAATCTATGTGATATATAGATATATATGTACGGAGAGAGGCGCGCTAAGGCCTAATTAGGAAGGTGTATCGAGTGTAGAGAATTGATCCGTAATAATTACCTATAAAAAACAGAGAAAGGCTATGTCCTTATGGTAAGAAGTATCGAAATACCGGAAAGAAATGAAGACAACGTGTTAGTTAGTGATGTGAATCCCACAATATCTCCTACCGCAGTGAAATCTTTCGAATAATGAAATAGCTATAGACATCGAACAGTTTCAATTCGTCCAAATATGCATCGTCCGATGTTCCTCCTGCAGAGGCCGCAGTAATATACTATATTAATGTAGTGGGGATGATAGGCCAAGTTGCAGTGGTATTCTCCGCTTGCTGAGTGATGATTTGATGTGGAACCGTGGAGAGCATATGACGTGGGATCTTGGAGAGCTGAGCCGTGTTCTTGGTGCTGGGGGCCTTGTTGCCGCTTGGTTTCTCCGCAGTGTTCTCCGCATTCGCCTGCTGTATTGACTTCTCTTACACTGGCTGAGTGGATTGGTGTGAGACCGTGGAGAGTAGGCCTATTATATCACTGCTGCTGATGACTATCTCCGCAATATTCTCCGCAGTATTCTCCGCATTCGCCTATTATAGATCCTCCTCTTATTTAATTGAGTGCGAGGGTACCGAGGGTAAATGTGTTTATATTAATGGAATTGATAGAATTAATAGAATAGTGAAAGAAGAATAGTTATATAAATAGGTGGAAGGATTATTATCCGATCCCGAACGCGTTTAATGTGACTACAATATTTGAATATTAGTTTAACTCATCTATCGCTGGTTTGAAAGAAGTATATAGAGGAGAACGTATCCGTTCGAGCTCTTTTTAAGAGTCTTC